TATGCGTGTCAGCACGCCGTGAAAGCATGCCATGTAAACAATATGTTGGTACAGTGCTGTTCAGTGATGTCACGCGTTGATATGCTAGCAAACTGATATCATGGCATGCTGAAAATAATGAGATAAATAACAACAGAGATCGCTACTTTTCAATTTGACGCGCATTCTGCTTGCACGAAACTCGCATAGAATGTTGAGAGAACGTGTCGTCGTGATGCTTGCCGGATGAACTTGCATCTGGCAGTCACAAAGACGTCAAGCCATGAAGGCATGCTTGCATAATGCCGGCACGTTGCCACCATTTTGTTTGCTGGGTATATGATGAGACTTGTTAGCTTGAGTCAGAGAAGGGAAATGCTTCCCGTTTTTATGCGTCGATGGTAAGTTCTGGAGGCGGTAAGGTTCGCGTATCGCGAAGTCCGACTGTTTACGTTCCGGAGACTACATCTTTTATAGTACAGCTTTGAGATGAAGGCTCCGACAAATTTACATCATCGCAAGTCACCAGGGATGTTCTGTGTCTAAATCTAAGGTTCTAAAGTCGTCTGACTGTGGACTGAGGATTAAAAGAATTTCCTTTGCTCGGAAAAATAGTGTTAGGATTGATCTTTTCACCTGACATCCAGAGAGTGAAGTCTCATCCGGAGATTACCGGTGCTAGTCTTAGAGTAGCTGAGAATATTAAATCTAACCCAAGACTTATTGTTTACGACATTCCCGCAGAAATGACCTCAGATGAGATATGTGAGAAACTGATTGCTCAAAATTTAACTGATATTAAAAATGCTGATCTGAAAATTGTATATATTTATCCAGTGAAGCCTGGTAAGCATGTCAAAAACTGCGTGATAGAAGTGACTCCATGTGTGCGTAATCAGCTTCAGAGAAGAAGTCGAATATATATAAGGTACTCAGCTTATAAATTTGCAGACTATGTGAGAATTCTTCAATGTTTCAATTGCTTGGGTTTTGGTCATCTGGCTAAATACTGCAGAAGGAGCCTAGTGTGTGGGCATTGTAGAGATGAACATCAAAAAAAGAATTGTACCAACTTGAAAAATACTCCTAAATGTAGTAACTGCTTGAACAGCAAAGCTTTTTCTGCGGGAGATTTGGGCCATGCGGCCACAGACTTGAAGAAATATCCGATTTTTTGTTGCAAGATCACAGATAAGATATCAACTGTCGATTATGGCAAGTAGAAGAACAAGTACTAATTTTTTGATTTGTCATGTAAATTGTCAATTTCTTTTTGTTCACTTTGACGAACTTAAGCTGTTCTTTAGCCGCTCAGGATATCATATTGTCTGCTTGTCAGAAACGTGGCTGAAACCTGACATACTGAATAGTATCCCTGACAAAAATGAGAAGTTTTATAAGCGTTTATTTGACGTTTGTATGAGCGTTTTGCGGAAATTCGTTGAAAGTTTTGAAACGGTCAGTAGAGAATTCATAGGTCGGAAATTGCGACGCTACAGCGTTTGAAAGGCGTTTGTATAAAGCGTTTCTGAAAGTTTGCCTAGTGTTTACGTTAAGCGTGAGAAAAAACAAAATAGTATATTAAGTTAAATACATCTAAAAATTCAATAAAAGAATTTTTTGCGACTTGCGCTTTCACACAGCTAAGAGATTTCACTTGAATTAAGTTTTGAAAGCCCGGTTTTAGCTCGCCAATTAACCGATAAATTCCATTAAAAGGGACCGCGGACCTGAAAAAATCCTAAGATGATAGCGGGATTCGAACTCGAGACGCCTCCGTCGTATTCGCAGCATCTGCACTCAGTCCGCAAGACTACTTGTTCCTTACTAAAATGTAATTATTTTTATCTACTTATTCTCAAGCTATCTTACACAGTTCATTTATTATTTCTTTGAAATATTATTTTATTAAAAAGTGAAGTGCAATGTACCTGCAATGGGTAAAAATATTTCTCTCTCTTATTATTATTAAATATAATTTCAAGTAGAGTTTTACAACGCAATCAAATTTTTGGTCTCAAATAATGCTATATTTAAATCAAATATAGTTTGTTTATGTTACATTTATGTTAAAAATAGATTTTTTCATTAAATAATGCTTTATTTGATGAAAAAACCTAATAAAACATTATTTCGTTGAAATAAATTATTTCAAGCATTTATATTATTTTCTTCGTATTATGATTTAGTATAATATAACAATACAAAGTTTCATTCAACAAAATTGTTGTTTGGTATAAAATTATGTTATTTGAATGCAACAAATATAAGTCAAACAAATCGGACTATCAAATTTAAAGAAACCGTTCTCTCTGTGTATAGACTTGTAAGCGTTTGTAAGTGTTCAATAATTGTTAATCTGAACTTCAATTCTTTAATTTATACGAAAATGTTTTGTATGCAAAAGTGTCACTCGCTACGCAATTACTGACTGATATATATTTTTAAATTTAAAAATATATACTAATTAGTAATTATATTAAATAATGTAATATATTAAATATAATATATTAAATTACATAAAGCTATTACATAAAGCTATTACATAAAACTTTTACATAAAATTAATCTCAATATAATTAAATAATTTAGTATATTAAGTATATGTAATATATATCAATAGTCTTCTTATTCTTACAATAAACTGAGTTATAATAAATGAATTGATTTTTAATGTGTAGTTTTTAATATATATTTTTTATTACTTACTCATAAAAGCATTTGCTAATCGTTTGAAAAGTCTGTCAGCAAACTCTTTGTACGAAAATGTATCAGTATTTACTGAGCGTTTTGTGAAAAGCGTTACCGTAGCATTGCAGAATGTTTAGAAAACATTATATATAGCGTTTGATAAGCGTTCCAAAAAAGTTCAAATCTTTTGGCGTTATATAAGCATTCTTATAAAGTTTAAAAGCGTATAAACTCTCAGAAAATTCTCATTAAACGGTTATCAACGCTCTGTAAGGCTTCTTATTTTCGTCAGGGATGGTAAATTTGAGTGGTTATACACTTTTTAGACATGATAGAGTTGACAAAAGTGGCGGAGGTGTTGCCTTCTTTGTACATAACTCTTTGAGAGCGAATGTTTTAGAGGTGTCTAGTGAGCAATATTGTCGCAGACCAGAATTTATTATTGCGGAAATTATTTCTACAATGTCAGCCAAGCAGTTGTGTACAGGCCACCTAACTGTGGCTTTCTTCAGAACTTTGAGAGTATTTTCTTAGACCTTCATGCTAGTTATAGGCATTCTATTATTTTTGGAGACTTTAATGCTGACATGCTTGCGACCTCTTATGACAGTCTTCAACTATCTACTTTTGTCAGATCTTCGGGTCTTTACTTGGTTCCTTACCAAGCAACTCATATAATTTACTGAATTCAAAAACATTGCTTGATCTTTGCATTATGGATGATCTTAGTAAGCTCATCAGTTTTGGACAGCATGCCGTACTGTTTCTCTCTGCGCATGATCTCATCTATGTCAATTATCAGCTACATGTTGATAAAATATGTAACCGAACGGTCATTTGTAGGAACTTCAGACAATTTGATGAAGAAGCTTTTTTGAACGACATTCAGTGCATAGACTGGAGCGATCTTATGTCTTCAACATCGCTTGACGAGAAAATTGATATTTTCAACATGTATCTATTGGAAAGTCTGAATCGCCACGCACCTCTTCAACAAATCTGCTTCAGAAATTTTCCTGCACCTTGGCTCACTTCCGATATAAAAAATGCAATGCATGAGAGGAATAAAGTGCGAAGAAGATGGCGCAGAGACGGCAGCAATGACTCTCATCGTTTTTTTAAAAGACTAAGAAACGATGTACAGATTATGATTCGCAAGGCGAAGGCCAGCTACTACACATTTTTGTTCATAAGAATCAAGGATCCTAATCTTGTCTGGAATGAGCTGAGACACTTGGGACTTATTAAGACCAAGGATTTGACAAAGGGCATTTTGTGCATGCTGCTGGTAGCTCTACCGATGCAGTGCAATCACTTCCTCAGAGCTCCTTATCTGAAGACTTTGATGATTCTAAATTCCACTGGAAACATATTACCCCGTTTGCCATTGATAAAGCCTTTTCCAGAATTAAGACAAATGCAACGGGGGTGGATAGCATCTCCAGCAAAGTGATAAAACTTGTATTGCTATATGTCATGCCTATCATCGGGCACATCTATAACTATTCACTGTCACATCCCACACAGACATCCATCTATTCAGACATCCATTAGACATCTATTAGATGTCGCATGGAGCTGTCGACGTCTAATAGACGTCTAATGGAGTTTTTGTTCTGTGTGGGATGGCGTTTTTCCAAATTGTTGGAAATTCGCTACGATCTGCCCTGTTGCTAAAGTCAAGAATCCAACTTTATCACAGCACTACAGACCTATCGCTATTCTTTCTGCCATGTCCAAGGCGCTTGAAAGAGCGGTTTGTGAGCAGATACAGGAGTATCTAAATGAAAACACTCTTTATGATCCTCATCAATTTGCGTACAGGAAAGGGCATTCGACGCAAACAAGTGTTGTAAAATTTCTGGACAATGTTAGGAGTGCGGCTGATCGAAGGATGATAACTATCGCTGTCTTCTTTGATCTGTCTAAGGCCTTCGATAAAGTTCAGCATCACATTCTGTTGCAAAAATTGAAATTAAAAAATTTCTCTTACCTCACGTTGCGCTGGATTGAGTCCTACCTACATAACAGAATTCAGGCCGTCAGAGATCCGGCTGACTCTGCTCTCTCCTCGCCTGCCTTGATTAATGTTGAAGTCTCGCAGGGCGCTGTCCTTGGACCTTTGCTATTTACCTTATATCTACATGACTTTACTGAAGCGCTGATACATTGCAAATATAGTTTTTATGCTGATGACCTGCTAATCTACTTCCATTGTGATTCACGTGATATCCAAAATAGTATTGCAAATGTAAATTTCGATATTCAAAATATTATTCATTGGGCTTCACTGAATAAATTATTGTTAAATTCGGACAAAATTCATTATTATGGGATTGACGAGATACATAAATGCCATATACCAATATCAATCGCCTGATATCATAGTTGACAATACTTTGGTGCAATATGCATCTGAAATCAAATATCTTAGTATCACGATCTCCAGTACTCTTTCTTGGGATAAACATATCACCAACACGACCAATAAGATTAGGAGGACATTTTATCAGTTGAAGCTCTGCAAGAGTCTTCATCCGCGTGGACTAAGAGAGAGACTTGTTATTACGCTCATCTTCCCTCACCTGGATTACTGTTGTTATGCACTTACGAATGTCACCGCAGAACAAAATCTCCGTCTTTACAGAGCAATTAATGCTTGCGTTAGATTTATACTAGATATTAGAAGAGATCAACACATCACGCCGCACTATAAAACATTGCGATGGCTCAATGTAAATGACCGTAGGAGATATTTCGTAGGATGTCTACTACACATAATACTTATGACGCAACAACCTTATTCCATCTATGTTAATTTGCACCGACGTGAAGAATCTGTGAGGGATACGAGGGCACCGGATAATGATCTTGTATCACCCTTGTGTCGAACGGAGATTTTCAGGCAATCTTTTATGGCTACTGCTATACGGATATGGAATGACATCCCTCTGAACATTAGAAGAGTGAGAACACATGATCTATTCAAATCCTTGCTCTACGGACACTTGCTAGACAATATCTGAAAATCTGAATATCTGAGTATGTTGCTACTTTATGACTACTTTGTTACTATCAATTTTAATGTTTAATATACTTTAATACTTTATTATTATTTCATTTATTGTTTATTACTTGCTAATTTTTGTTATTTTTAATTATTATTTTTTCTTTTGTTTTCTTTTGTTCTGTTACTTTGTTATTATTTTCATCTATAGTCTATTAATTGCTATGTAATTATTTTATTATGTTTTATTATTTCTGTATCTTATTTTATTTTTAGGAGATCTTTACGCTTTAAAAGATCTCATCCCGGAGCGCTTTAATAAATAACGCTTTCTCTCTCTCCCTCTCTCTCTCTCTCTCTCTCTCTCTCACTCACTCTCTCTCATTAAAAAAAGGAAGCAAAGATACAGTAATCATGGGATGTGAAACTGGAGAGGAAATAAAAAAATTGAAGAAGACAATTCAAGCTAAACTAGGAGACACTTATAAAGTGATGGAATTATCACAGTCAAAACCGAAATTAAAAATTATTAATATAGTTAAAGAAGAGATAAATTTAGCTGATGACGAACATATATCTACAATAAAGAAGCAGAATAAAATAGATGCAGTAAATATTCGAATAGTGAAGAAAATAGTTAAAGAAAAGAGAAACAATCAGTCAAAAAAAGGAGAAAATGAAGAAGGATTATTAATATTGAAAACAGATGACAAAACGCACGAGATGATCTTGAAAAAAACAAAGCTAAATATAGGATAGAGGAAATGTCCTGTATTTAGTCATTTTAATATTAAAAGATGTTTTAAGTGTTGGAGTTACCATATTGCAAAGAATTGTACGAGAGATGAAATATGTCACAAATGTGCAGGAAATCATAGTTCGATTGACTGCACAGCGACAAAGAAGAAGTGTGTAAACTGTATGTTTAAAAATCGAACATACAACCTAAAGTTAAATGACGGACACGACGTCCTTAGTCCGGAATGTCCGACTTTTAAAAGGACACTACAAGAAGAAAAGAGGAGAGCCGGCTGGGAGGACGCTAAGTAGCTACAAGAAGAGACGGAGCTAATAATATATACAAATGCGAAAGTCTAACAGCACATAAAGATGAGATACAGCACCACAAAATAAAGAAGATAAATCCTGCGTTCTTAGCATTATCGGAAACCAGGTTGACTGAAGAAATTGAAGATAGTAAAGTAAACGTTCCAGGTTATAGTATGATTAAATGTAATGCTGAGAATAGAAATACAAGAGGGGTTGTTTTATACCCAGCAAACAATTTGGTTGCGGGATGTCGCGGTTTTATTGCCAACCGCCTGCGAAATTTGTAGACCAAATCCATATCCATCTGTGTCTTTATTAGGATATGATTTGGCGACTATATCTGTCAAACATGTGAGATGTCAAATTGAGATCAAAATCATAACAGGTCTGCCACTAGCAAAACGAAGCCAAAGTGACGCACCAAATCTAGAACAGATTTAGTCATCGTCTGTTGGCGCCAAAATCGCGCCAAATACACATCATATTTGTTACTAGAACTGTCAACAAAACAGTTGCAATTACAGATCAAATCTGTCGTCAGAAACGCCACCAAATGGATCAGATCTGTCGTCTAAAACCCAAGTGAAATTACTTACTAAAAATAAAGAAAAAACTTATGGCACATTGTCTTGTCGGAAAGGAATTAATTCGAGATTTCACTCAAATTAATTTCTGGAGGCCTGATATTCAGCTCGCCGATCAACCGATGAACTCCATTGAAAGAGACCGGATCTGAAAAAATCCTAATGTGATAACGAGATTTGAACTCGAGACTTCCACATTTTCAACCCTTGCACTTAATCCGCGAGACCACTTGTTTTTTATTAACATATAATTATTTTTATCTTATTCTTAAGCTATCTTACATTTTATTTATTATTTATTTAAATTATTGTTTTACTAAAAATGTTTCAATGCAATGTACTTGCAACAAAGAATAAAAGTATTTTTCTTATTGTTATTAAATATAATTTATTAAATATAATTATTAAATATAAGTACATATATATATTAAATATAATTTAAAGTATATTTTTACAACGCAAACAAATTGTTTGTTACTATATGCTGATTACTATTGACAGTTCACAAGAATTTGCTACAAGAATATGAAATAAAAAGTAAGAGTTCCCATTAAAAACATTCAAATCGACCTTGACATGACCTTTATGATGCCATTCAAGATCAATTGCATATGCCCATACAATGCATTACTTGATCACCAACAACTTTTGTCTGAAACATTTTGTAAAATAACTACTTCTCTACTTTTTAAATGGGGTCGAGTGGTCTGAAACACTCTGTATATATATATACATATACATATATACGTGTTTACATGTAAATCTTACACGTGAGTTTTTGAATTGAGATTTCAATTCTTAAATTCATATAAAATGTTATACTTGCATCTTATATATGAGACCCCGTACACCCCTCTAACTAATTTTAAAATATTGCAAAACAACTCTTCGGCTAGGACCTCCGCCTTTCCGTGCCGTCGCCTTTCCTATTCGGTTTTAAGAAAATTAATTACATTTTCTTGTTTACTGTATAAAACATAAATAAAATCATTTTCAACGTGACTACCACGTACTCAACAAGATGAGGAAAAATAAACTGCAATTTTGGACAAATTTTTTCTATAAAAAGTTTTATTGCTCATTATATGACACTCATAAAACATTTTTCAATCAATACTGAAAATCATGTGAGGCCATAAACACAAGGCCATAAACACGATAGTAGTGTAGTTGTGTGTGTCAACGACTTTATATTATAATCCTTTGCTCTAAAAGACTGATAATGAAAAGACTTACAAGAAAACCTTACAAATTTGAAAATTCTGATTTTGATGAAAATCAAGTATATCTTGAAAATTATGGAAAATGTCTAAAAACTGTTTTATACAAAAGTTTTATAGTAAAAACTTCTTTATTTAATTACTTAATAAAATTACAAAAAATGATTTTTATTACTTTTATTACTTTTGTATAAAACTTTTTTGATATTTTGTAATTTTCGAGATATATTGAGAAAAACAAACCGCCGTTTTACGTATAAGAAGTCTCATCATCCCTTAGATCGGTTTTAGGCAGAAAATCTACATTTATCTATTTACCCCTCATATGTGCTAAATTTCACCAAAATCGTTCGTCAGGTTTCCTTTTTTAGAGATTTTTCAATTCCCCAACTAAGTCGCGATCTACTCTGTCTTATATTTATTTGCTACTCAATACTTTTTCTCTATTACAGGAACTGGAATTAAGAATAGAAACTCAAAAGCAGACACTGCAGGCTCGCGATGAAAGTATCAAGAAACTTCTTGAAATGCTTCAAAACAAGGGAATGGGTAAGACAATTGCTTGCAAATTTGGTTACATGTATATTTTTTACTTTCTAGTACATGTACATTTCTAACTATTCTATTAAATATTTATAAGATTATGTGTTACATAAATTTTTTCAGAATAAGAAAGAGAGTTTGTGATATTATCAATTTATATAATCTTATAGACAATCTGCTAAATGATTAGATAAATTATATATACAGTCGAATTTCAATAAAGTAAAATTTTTGGGACTAGATGTAAAATTTTTTTCATCGCCCACTTTGGTAACAATCTATCAAAACGTGTCACAAAGGTATTTTCTTTTGCGATATGGCAAGTGGAAAAGAAATCTAGATTTGCATAAAATAAAACGGATACGGATGTTTCAATCGGATACAGACCCAATCGGATACAACAAAAAACGGACACACAATGGATTCAATCAAACACAGTTTCAATCAAATACAAACTGAACAGACACACTACAGTCTCAATCAAACACTGTTCTAATCAAATACAATAAACAACAAAAACTCAAACCAATCTATAATATGTCATTGTGATAGCGTTACAGTAGCGTACATTGACAAGCAATATGCATTGTAATAACTAATGATATTGTAGTAACATAGGGGTTGTGAATTAGATTAGGTTTTTTCGAGAAGGCTGCAGGGAAAGAGATAAAGTCCTTCAGTTCTCACACGTGTACAATAGTATATGATACAATATTTTGTTTCATATACAATAGTATATGAAACAAAATATTTACTTTTCAAATGTATGCGATATCGAAAAGTTTTGTTTATTATATCCGATTGGAATCGTGTCTGATTGAGACTGTCATGTGTTTGTTTCAGATCGTTTCCGATTGATACTGTCCGATTGATACTAACTATCCAGTTGGGTTCGTTGTGTATCCATTTCTTGTCATGTCCGATTAATACATTCTGCCGTGTCTGTTTTATTTCGTGCACATTTGAGACTAACTTTGACGAGTGTAGTGTAATAGCACGTGTAACGGAACTAACAAGGGAAATGACGCAAGTGTCCCTCTTCGATTTTCATGAGTTTTGAATATGTTGTAGAGCAGCTAAAAATAAGAGACCCTACGTTTTTTATGTGTTTTCTTGCACGTTTAGAGAACACTCATTGGAAAAAAACCAGTTTTTTAAAAATGCGAATATCGTCAAAACGGTAGTAGATATAAAACATGATTAAAATAAAAGTTATATGGTCTTTTATAAGTTTTATACTTGGAGTTTTTTAATTGACCATTTTTTAATTTAATCTCACTTATTTTTTTTTTCACGAATTTCAAAATTTTTGTAAAGAAAAATTGTAACATGGTTTACGCTGAATTTAACCATATATGATTTTATTATGTTTCAAAATTGCATGCATTGCGCTGCATCGTTTATGTCACGCTCTTATCGTAATAAGCAATAAAAAAATAGAAGAAGAAAAACACGTCATCACGTATTTAAAAAAAAAGCTTTATCAAAGAGAAAAAGCAAAATTTACTAAAAGTGTTACTAAGGCATCCCTTCCACTGATGCTTTACACTCTTAATTTTGTTTAACAAAAATTATCCATAATTTTATTATAAAAGATTATATTTTATTATAAGAATATATAT